ACCTGGCTGGCAATTGGGAAAGTCCCTGCCGGCTGACCCATCGCATCTGCCACTCCAGTCCTGCCCCCCTCTTCTCTGAGCCTGACCTGCACCCCACACACACACACACACACACACACACACACACACACTGCAGTTCCTTGCTGAGCCCTCGGCAAAGGCTCTAGCCTTGAAGACACTCGACCTTACTAGTCCACCTCCCGCCCTTTTGGCATCTGAGGAAACGGAGGCCATACCAGGTGGGCACTTTCCCAGGGACAGGGCAGGGTGGGACAGGGCAGGACAGCCCTCCACCTACGGGACTGCTCCCCAGGTCTCACAATCCCGGCCTAGGGTCCCCCGGAGCTCTGGGGAATGTCAGTCTGGAAAGATGTGGGTCTGGTGGGGCGGTGGCGGTGGAGGGGGGCGTCGCAAGGAGAGGCCAGCTCTGGAGGGCCTTTTACGGGGCCCAGCTGCATGTGGCTGGGAAGGCAGCCCCACGCCCAGGGACTCAGCCGGCCCTCGGCCCTCGGCCCTCGGTGCTCACTGCCGCCCGGCTCCTCGGGGAGAGATTGCAGCCTGGGTAGGGTGACCTCCTGAGAGCTGCAGCTCCCTGCTGGGAGCACACAAGCGGCCGCAGGACCCCCCCAGGTGTGGTGGCCTGGTCCTGACAAGGCACGGGAAGCTTGGCGTTGAATCTGGGAGTAGACAGACAGGCAGGCATTTGGCTCCATCTGCGTATTTAGATGTCTCGGCGGCCCCGCAGGACAGGGTAGAACGGCCCCTGAGGTTTCTGGGGCGGCATCTCTTTGTGGGCATAGAACCCCACGTCTTTGTCCCTTGGAGCGGCGGGTGGTTTCAAACTGCTGATGTTGCAGTTCCGTGAGCGGCCCGGTGGTAAATGTTAGCTTCTGACTCACCGTGGCCCCACGGACAGCAGGAGAAAGCGCTGCCCAGTCCATGAACAGTTACAGATGGAGCAACTGTGGCCCCGGGGGTGGGGCGGAGTTCCACTGGCTGATTGGCGGAATAGATCTCCAGGCCTTCCTTCCTCTTGTCCTGGAAACTCCGCGGAAACCCGTTCAGCTTCAGAGCAACGCGCCAGCGTGCACTGACAGATGGTGCTGGCTGCCCCCAAGGTGCATTGGTGGAGAACCCAGCCTGGGTCTGAGCCAGTGGATGGGGATGGGGGCTGAGGGGTGAGGCCCCATGCAGGCTGGCTGGGAAGGAGAGCAGGGATGGATTAGTGATGTCTTCCAGGGCATGGGCGGAGGTGGGGTGGGGGGAGTTGTCGGGCCCTGGCAGCCTCTTCCACTTGGAATGCAAGGTCCAAAGGACAGCCTGGGAACTGAATCCAGCGCACACATGTGTTGTGTTTGGCCCGCTTGGGTGTGTTGTTCTGTTTTGTTTTGTTTTTAATCGAGGTGATGCCAACATTTTTTTTAAAAGCAAGCTATTTCACATTGCAAGCTAGAGTTCTGGCTTCTCTTGTGGGAAGGCTGGTCAGTCCTTGGAGCCCACCAATACCCCCTGGGGCCCATCAACTGCAGCTGAGTACAGCCTCCCGCCCTGCCCAGATGGGTGCCCTTCCCCTTAACCACAGTCCCCAACACCCCGCCCTCACACTTTAATCCGCCAGCCCCGGCCCAGCAGGAGAGACAGGCACACGGTGCCATGAGATGGTCTCAGCACCAAATTCGCCAGGAAGACCTGGAGCTTGTAGGACCACCCGAGGTCCCATCTCTACCCTCCGTGTTCCCGTAGTCTCGAAACCCAGTTTGAACCTACCCCAGCTGGGGCCACCAGCCTCTGCCCAGGCGGTGGCCAGGGTTCACCTTTCCAAAGCAACAGCGTGCAAGTGATTTTTAAACAACCATTTCCACTTGAAAAATGGCAGATGCCGTGTGCCCCTCGCCTGGCCTCTGGTTCGTCTCCGTCCCCCCAAAAAGATCCTGCTTGTTTTTTTTCCCCCTGAGCTACCTGTGAGTAATGAAGCTGCTTGCTCCCCGAAGCGTGACAGTCTCGGGAGCCCACGGGACCAGCTCTACCCTGTCTTACAGGGTCACGTGTGACTCAGAGCCGACCCACGGCGGTGAGCTGGGTTTGCTGGTGACCGAGGAGCCCTGGTGGCCTAGTGGTTATGATCTGGGCTGTTAACTACGAGGTCAGCAGTTCGAAACCACCATCCGCTCTGCGGGAGAAAGCGGGAGCTTCCTTCTCTCGTAAAGAGCTTCCCTCTGGGACGCCCACAGGGGCAGTTCTCATCACCCTGGGGCGTCACCGTGAGTCGGCTGTGAGTGATGGCACCAGGAATGAGCGGCAGACACCACCCTTTCCCTTCAAGTAGCCTGTGCCTGCGAAGAACAAAGGGGCCCTGGTGGCACAATGGGGTAGGCATTGGACCACTAAGTACAGGGACAGCAGTTCGAACCTGCCAGCTGCCCTGGGGGAGAAAGATGAGGCAGTCTGCTTCTGTAAAGCTCTACGCCGCCCTGTAGGGTCACGGGGAGTCAGTCGGATTGGGGGTCCCGAAGAGCAAGGGAATGTTATCAGGAGAGACCACTTCCTGGAGAAGGACATCATGCTTGGTAAAGTGAAGGGACAGGGAAAAAAAAGTGGGGGACGGGGGACACCCTTCGGCAAGACAGATGGGCACACAATGGTTGCAACCATGGGCTCAAAGACAGCAACGATTGTGAGGATGATGCGGGGGCCGGGCCACCGTGTTTCGTTCTGTGATACGTGCCTGGGGTCGGAACCAACCCAACAGGTGGGTTAGGCGGCACAGCGGGCCAGGTGTGGGCAGCAGGTGGAAATGACCAGCCAGCCAAAGGGAGAGACGCAGGGACTTCCACTCTCGCACAGTGACGGTGTCAGAAACCTGTAAGGTTTCTGTCCTGCAGGGCGGCTATGACTTGGTGTGGACTCGATGGCCGTGAGGGCTGGGTTTAAGGACAAGGACACTCCCATACATGACGCACACAAGCTGGCATGCTCCCACCATTGTGACACCTTTACACGTGTCCCCAGGCACCGCGGCAATCACTGTTACAGCGACCGTGTGCTGCAGCGTATGGCCGCGGGTCACGGAGTGTCTGAGCTGCCTCTTCCTCCTCCTTCTGGACACAGTGTTGCTCTTGCCCTGTCACCCACCGGGAAGACAAAGCCCAGGGTCTCCTCCCGCCTGTGGGCAGCCCAAGCGAGCCAGGTCACTAACTATTTCCCCTCCACTCCTGAGGACAGTCGCGGGCATGCTGCCCACCCAGACGTAGAGGCAGAACCGTAGGACTGTCTGCCCTTCTCCGTGGGCATGGCCGTAGAGGAGATTCATATGTGTGGCAACCCCACCCATGCAGAGCAAATGGCTCCGAGGGGCTTGCCCAAGGGGGGTGCCAGGCCTGTCGTGAGAGGCGGCTCCGGGTGGGTGTGATCTGCCAGTGCTCATGGTCGGGCTGCTTAACGGTATGCATGGCCCGGCCTGGTGCCACCAGAGTCCATTCCGGCTCGGAAGGACCCTCCAGTACAGAGTGGAACCGCTCCCTCGGGGTTCTCAGACGATCAATCGTTACAGGGCCCGAGGGCCTCATCTTTCTCCCACAGAGCGGCTGGTAGATTTGAACTGCTGACCTTGACATAACAGCCCAGTGCATAAGTTACTCACTCACTGCCATTGAGTCAGTGTCAACCCACAGAGACCCTATAGGACAGGGCAGGACTGCCCCTGTGGCATTGCAAGACCATAACTATGTACAGGAGTAGAAAGCCCCACCTTTCTCCCAAAGTGCAGCGATGGTTTTGAAGCGCTGACCTTGGGGATTGCAGGCCAATACATAACCACTAGGCCAACGAGGCTTATTTTAAGGTTCTCTCTTCCTAGGAACAGAAGATGCTCGGGCCAGCCCCTCCAGGTTTGTTTTGATATGTGGCACTGCATTCTTCCAAAATATAAAGAGGAAATTAAAAGTACAAAGACCCAACTCTTAAGCCTTTACTCACGGGGGCAATTTCATGGTAACCAATATTAAATCTCTTCGCTTCAATCAGGCCTGCTCATGTTCATTCATGACGATCATAGCAACTTCTGAATAGTTATATGGCCTTTACAGCTGGCACGCTCATAAGAGGCATTGATTCTGTCTGAAACTGAGGCAGAGAGAGCAGCCTCCCGTGATCACGGGTCACAGTGCAGAGAAGGTCCGCATTCAGCAGTGAACGATGACTTTGAAAAAGCAAAAGCCTTTCAACGTACAAGGGCAGAGTGCAAAGTCATGTCCAGGGCCCAACATTCTATATAAGGAGGGTGTGTGTTGAAAATCATCAGTGGGGATTTGTCATCCAAAGTCAAAACCCACTTATTCCTCGGATCCTCCGAATTCGCCCGCCCCCCAAGTCATCATTGCTCGGGACCCAGCGCCCCTCTGAGCCCACCCCGTACCCCACCCACCCCAGACCCCAGTCTCCCCTCAGCACCACCAGGTTAATCTCCTCTGCACCTGTGCAGGTGTGCCCCGGCCCAGGCGAGGTCCCGGAGCTCCAGGGCCGCGGCTTCCTGACCATGGAGCAGCTGGCGCTGCTGCCGCCGCCGGCCGTGATGAACTACATCTCCCTGCTGCTGGGCCTGTGTGGCCTCGTGGGGAACGGGCTGGTCCTCTGGCTCTTCGGCTTCTCCATCAAGAGTAGCCCCTTCTCCGTCTACTTTCTGCACCTGGCCGGTGCGGACGGGGGCTACCTCCTCAGCAAGGCTGTGCTGTCCGCCCTGAACACGGGGGGCTTCCTGGGAGCCTTCGCCGACTACGTCCGAGTCGTGTGCAGGCTCCTGGGCCTCTGCGCCTTCCTGGCCGGGGTCAGTCTGCTGCCGGCCGTTAGCCTCGAGCGCTGCCTCTCCGTGCTCTTCCCCGCCTGGTACTGGCGCCGGCGGCCCCGGCGCCTGTCGGCCGTGGTGGCCACCCTGCTCTGGCTGTTGGCACTCCTGGTCACCGGCGTCCACAACTACTTCTGCGTGTTCCTGAGCCACCAGGCCTCGGGGATGGCCTGCGGGCACATGGACGTCTTCCTGGGCATCCTGATCTTCCTCGTCTGCTGCCCGCTTATGGTGCTGCCCTGCCTGGCGCTCATCCTGCATGTGGAGTGCCGGGCCCGGCGCCGCCAGCGCTCCGCCAAGCTCAACCACGTGGTGCTGGCCATGGTGGCCGTGTTCCTGGTGTCCTCCATCTACCTGGGCATCGACTGGTTTCTCTTCTGGGTCTTCCAGATTCCCGCGCCTTTCCCAGAGTACGTCACCGACCTGTGCATCTGCGTCAACAGCAGCGCCAAGCCCGTCGTCTACTTCCTGGCCGGCAGGGACAAGTCGCAGCGGCTGTGGGAGCCGCTGCGGGTGGTCTTCCAGCGGGCCCTGCGAGACGGGCCGGAGCTGGGCGAGGCTGGGGGTGGGACGCCCAACACAGTCACCATGGAGATGCAGACGTCCCCTGGCTACCCCTCCTGAGAGGCCGTGCCTGCAGGGGCTGGGGGGAGTCTGGGTGGTGCCTAAGACCTCCTATTGGACAGGAGCAGGGCCTCTGTCTTAACACCCACTTGGGAAGGAGGCTTCAAGGGGGGTGAGGGGCTGAAAGGTCAAGGAAGGAGACCCTGTGCCCCCGCCACACACACACACACACACACACACACACACACTTTCCTAGTCCTGGGCTGGATGGCGGGATGAGGCTGGCTTCCCCACCTTCAGACACCAGCACAGCCAGCGTGGCCACCCCTGTCAGGCCAGGGGCTCTTTCCACCCCCCACCCCTCCCCCATCAGTTAGGGTCCTGAGTCGCCTGGTGCAATTAGAGGGGTCCAATGAGGAACTCATTAGTGGGGGATTGCCAGACCCCTGGGGGATGATGGCCCCCTCTGACTGACTCTGAGCTGGCCCAGGATGGACACTCGGCCCCCAGTGCCCCTCGGGCCATCCAGGTAACTTCTGGGCTTCAGGTCCCTCTGGAAAGCGGGCACTGGCTCCGGACCGGAATGGGCACCTGAGGGTCTCCCCCACATGAAGCAGCCAGTGCAGCCCAAGGGGGATTCCTGAGAGACAATCCGATGTGTATGAATAAACACGTTATATCTGGCAGAGGGCAGGGCCCTGCCCTGTCTGTGGTCACTCCATGTCCCACGGCAGGGGTGTTCTACGGGGGATGTCCCACGGGGGTGGGGGGGGGTGGGAATGCCCCAGGCCACCTGGAGTCTCAGGGTGGCCAACCTGTGCATGCAGCCCTGCTCCCTCTGCCTGCACTGGTCCTCAGGGGAGTCCATCCAGTCCCATGACATGCCCCCCCTCCTGGTGGGTCCATCCACGGTCCTGGCATGCCCCCCTCCTGGTGGATGCATCCACCCCTCAGCCAGCAGGAAGGGTGGTTGGCTAATTTAGCCCCTGTGGGTGTTTGAAGGTGCTCTTTCCACGCTGTCCAGGTGTTCTCTTACCCAGAAGCTGCCTTCCCACCCCCTCCTCACTGGACCCCAGGCTTGCTGCACAGGTCCTGCTGTGAGGACCACCCAGCAGGTCCACCCTAGAGGCCCACGAACTCAGAGACAGGCCCCGGCTGGGCTTGGCCTCCCTGTGCCCGGCCCCGGCCTGCTTCCCCAGGAGATGGTCTCTGCCAGGCCAGGGCTGAGGGGTCCTGCTGACCCTGCTCCACCAGCCTGGAGAGGCCTGTCCTGGGCACCTAGTGTCCATGATGGGGGGCAGGGGGCAGGCCCAGTGGGGTAGCCTCTTGACCATGGGCCCAGGAGAGGGAGCCGGAGGCACTGGCATCAGGATGGGTGGCCGATGGTACCCAGCCCTCTCAGTAGGGAGCCTGGGAGGGCAGGGGGCACTGTCCTTGCTGGGAGCAGGGAGGGCGGGCACCCATAAGCATCTGCTGTTCTGCCCTTCCCTCATTGGGGCATTCTCCTACAATCAGGAGCTTGCCTGCCTTATGCCCGATTCACCGGTCCTGGGGGGACAGACCCCCATGCCACACCACCTTGTGTCCCGTCCACTCCCGCCCACTGCCCCACAGTACTCTTCTAACCGACCCCACTAGGCCACCTCTGTGCGGAGGCAGAGCCTGTGTGTGCAGCACCTTTGTTTCAGGGGCTCAGTGGGCCCCTCTCATTGTGCGGCGGGCCCTCCCATCTGCCCAGCCCGGCCAGCGGGTGCCCAAAGAGCAGAAGCCCTCACACCAGCACCTTCCAGGGGTGCTCGGAGCAGCCAGGTGAGTCAGCTGGCAGTGTGGGGTGGGGGTAGGGGTGCTCCCACGCAGGGCAGATGGGCATAAACGAAGGGTCACACTGGGGCGTGGCCCTGGGAGTCCGTGTGAGTGGCACACCTGAGTGGGCCCCACCCCACCTGTTTCCCAGGACAGGTAGGTTCTTCCTGGGGGTGTGGTTTCTGAGAGGGAGGTGCTTGGCTGAAAGTGAGAGTTATCGGCCCCCCAGGAGCTCCACCCCAACACACACACACACACACACACACACACTCCCATCTGCTCCCGCGAAACTGGAATCTCTCAACCTGGGGCCCTTCTTGGACGGGCGCTGTGATGCCAGCCTGACTCGGGGGGCTGGGGTCACGGTCAGGTACCTACCACCCCACCCTAACTGAGACCAAATTGAGGGAAGGCGCACCTGTGCCTGTCAGGGCAGAGCTTCCCCACCTCACCCTCAGAGTCTCGGGGGTCGGAAAAGAATTTCAGTCCTTGCCAAGGTTGCTCTTCCTCCCACAGCCCCTCGGACCGTGTTTCGGGCTCTCAGGGAAGGGCCCAGGCAGGTTACATGCCCCTTCTCGTTTGTCCTCCTCCTCCTCCTCCTCCCCCTCCTCCTCCTCCACCACCTCCTTCTTTTAATACTGTATTCACTTTTATTGTTTCTATTTTATTTATTTTTATTATGCTCACGGTTTTTTTTTTAATGTTAGTGTCCACATCCCCGCACCCCATGATTTGTGGACAACAACCCTGAGTTAGTTCATTGTGCCAGCCTGGCCGATAATCCCATGTGGGGCTAATTGAAAGGCGGAGGGATCAATGGGTGGTGAGCCTCGCCTTTCTAGTTCTCCGGTCTCTTGCTTTGTGGTGGTCGCACCAGGGTGCAGCTGCCTTAGCAGCTCCCTGCTTCAGCTTGCAAGATTGGCTTCCTACAAGATATCCCCAAGGAGAAGCCGCATGGACCTATCCCGATGCAGCCCTGGGTGCTGGAGCAGCCGTGTGGAGACCCCTGCTAGTGCTAAGATGCTTATTCGTTCACTGACTCAGCTTTCCTCCTGCAGTCGGCATCATTGCCTCTGTTTTGTGAGGTGGAGGACTTTGTGGACTGGTGTTGGGTTAATGGGTTAATGTTGGACTTGTGGGCTTGGGCAGCTTTGGGTTGGGATGTTTTCGTGATGCACATTTTCTTTACATAAAACTCTTTCTTATACATGAGTTGCTGTGGATTTGTTTCTCCAAAGTACCCAGACTAATACAAACCCTTACAAAGACAGGCCATTAGAGATGGGGACACAGCCCATGTCGCATCAAACCAGTGACAGAGGAGCCCGTGTGTGGGTCTCCCTCCCTCCCCCACCCCACAGGGTCTCCATGGCTCCTGTGTTGGAGCGGATCATCCGGACTTTCCTCTGTGGCACCTCTAGGGGCCCTTGAACCTCCGGCCTTGCAGGTTAGCAGCTGAGCCACGCTTGCTCCCCGGGCCATCGCCCTGGACAACTGCACCTCCAGTAGCAGCCAGAGCCCCGGCTCCTCTGCCTGTGGGGCCAGTGATGACCGTGCAGCGGGGAACCGGGCTTCAGGAGAAGGTCCGCTCTGGACAGCAGTGTCTATTAAAGCCCCCCTCCCCTGGGGGTGAGATAAAGGCCAAGAAGCTGAGCCTCCTGACCCCACCCTCACCATCCCACCCCCCACACCCCCCTGCCAATTTCAATCCGGACACTGGAATCCTATTTCGGTCAACCATGGGCGTGGCTATTCCTATCAAAGGCCGCTGGGTAGCCAGACAGTCTGGACCCTTGTGTCCCAGCATCCGGCTGTTTACTTCCAAGCTGGGCACCCCGGGAGGGGCGAGAGGGGAGGGCAGGGCGAGGTCCTGGGGTGGGGCGGGGCGAGGATCTGAGCATTCTCATACTTCCTGCCATCCGTGCTGCTCCCAAAAACAGGCCCAGAGGGAAGTGCACTCCTCTAGATGGGACCCCCGGGGGACACCACAAGGGTTAAAGGCTTGACCGCTCACAGGAAGGTGGGCGGTTCAAACCCACGCAGCGGCACCTCAGCCAAAAAAGGCCTGGGACTAAGCTGGCCCAAGTCAGGAGTCGGGGGCCAGCGTGGAGGAGTCAGGAGTCACTGCGTCATCCCAGCCACTTCAAGGGGCTCCGGCAGGAGGGGCAGGTGGTCACTGAAGGAAGGGGCTTTGCATATGAGCAGTCAGCTCCAGGCCCTGGGGGTCAGGCCCCCCGGCTGCCCTTCATTGAGTACCTGGTGTGTGTCAGGGGCCCCTCGGGGTGCACATGTGGTTTGAGTCCACCAGGAGGTGTTGAGGAAGAAAGGCCTGATAGTCCCAAACCATCGGCCCCAGGCAGCCCCGAGAGCCCAGGTCTGCTCGGAGTTGCCCAGGGGTGCCGGGGTGGAGGTGGTGCTGCGGGCCCTGGTTAAAAGGTCCAGACACACACTCACACCTCAGGGAGGTGCTGCAGGGAGCAGGCGGCCAACACCAGTAGTGAGCACAGAAGGCTCTGGTCCCCGGCCAGTCACACCCCACCCAAAGGCCCCACTCAGTGGCTTCTTGTTCCCTGGACACTCAGGCCTCTGACGTCTGCCTGCCTGGGGGCCCGGGGGTAGCAGGCGTGGACAGGGTCTGTCTGTCACAGCCCGAGGACAAGCCAGGCCACAACTGGGCTCCTGGATTTCCAGAGCCCATCTCTGGACGGCTCGGCCTCTGGCTGTGGGCATCCGAAACAAACTGAGGAGGCACAAAGGGGGGCTCGGCTCATGGCCGCAGAGCAGGGGTCTCTTCCTGGCCTCACCTTCTGGCGTCACAGCAGGGGACAGAGGCCACTCCAGAGCCCAGCAGCCTCTTCCGCATCCCCGGTTTGTTGTGATCTTGATATAACGTGGTGTCCTACTGTATGCCAAAAGGATCACGCCTGAGACTTTGCCCCCCACGCACAGCTGGGTCCGAACCCTGGAAGTGAGATCAGCCAAGGCGGTGTCTCTTTCTCAGGGAACGCGGGAACCCCTGGCAGGTGGGCAGAGGGAGGGGGTCTGTGGACACCCTGGGTGAGGCCGGGTTGTCCAGAGAAACAAGAGCAGTGACCTTCCCGTGTGAAAGAAAGAGCGTTAGCTCCGGGAGTAAATTCACTTCAGGAAGTCACCGCAGCCCAGGCCGACTCAGGTCCATGCGTCCGAGGCGCGTCCGAGCCCTCTGCAGACTCACGGGGCTGCAGGCCGATGACCATGACACAGGAAGGTGAAGCGGGAAGCAGGGAGCCCCCAGGCCAGCAGGTGCGGTCACGTGGATCCAAGGGCAGGGATCTGTCAGGATGCCGAGAGCTCTCTGGGTCCGGCAGCCCACAGGGGGCTACCTCTGCAGGTAGGCAGGGTCACAGCAAGCAGGAAGGCAATGGAGCAGAGAGAGAGAGAGAGAGACGTTCCCAGTGCCGTGCTTATCAAAAGGTCACTCCCCAAAGGATGCATCACCAGTCACCACTTGAATG